GAGAACTACATTGGTGAGTCAATGAATTTTATTTTACATTTCTTCTTGTCATTTTATTTCGTTAGTATTAAATTCATGGTAACGAAATAAAATGACAAAGATACAAAAATGTATCAAATAAATCTGCTCACCTGCAATTTATAATGGCGCATTGTAGTCACCTTCGTGCAGGAAAGTTCGTTCAATCTCAGCTGCTCAACATTTTCAGTTATTTGCTGTTGAATCGCCGATTTTCAAAATGCAAATGATCTGTTTATTTTCAAAGAATAGTTTGTTTTGTTATTGTTTGGTTGGTGTCTTTTATGAAACTGCGACATTGCGCAATTTATTGGACAGACTTGTTTAAGATCACACAGCGTAATTTGGGTGGCATTTTATTTCGTATTTTTAAATCATCTTTTTGTTTTTGACGTGTAGTTTCCTGCTCTTAATTGTGAATGCATACTTGATGGTTTTAAATGCTCCTGAAATTAAGTGCTGCTTGACGAGCCTATACAATATTGTGTTCATGTATGTAACGTCACTGAAGGCCTCAGGTTGAAATGCACGGCCCGACACTGTGCACGTTGTATTTCGGAACTCGATGAGCTGCAACGAAGAAGGTGTCATTTTTATTTCTGTTTATAACAAAAGCATTCTGAACTCTGAAAAAAGATGTTCGGTTGAGGCCGACTTTAAAATAAAATAATTGTCCACCTGAGTACTGCTTGTATTCATGAAATGAAAGCCAAACTTGCATGATCCACCTGGAGCCTACCAAAAATGCTGTCTGCTTCTGTGGTCCGTCGTCATTCATCACATGCACTCTGTGCTGCGCGAAGGTGTGTTGATGCCTGATGCAAACATGCGCTTGCCGAGGGACTTCAAATTTGTCAACGGGGGAAGAGATGCTGATGAAGAATTAAGAACTATGGCCACCTACCTGGTTTGGATGCCCCCGAGTTGCTGTCTAACTTGACTTAAAAATATATACAGTATTTGCAAAAAAAATAGGTACCTGGTTTATGAAATGTATTTATTTTTGCTTCTGTTGGCATCGTCAGGGCTGCATGATTTTTTGTTGTTTTGATGATTTTTTTTGCGCCTGTAATGGGCAGCATTTTTCACAGCCCCGTTTTGTTTAGCGGAGATATCGGCGCTGTCGGACAGTCTGCGCTGGTGTGTTTGGATGGATGGCTTGTGGAGCAGAGGACGAGGAACGAGGTGTGTCGGCGCTGAGCGCGGATGCGCAGTTGGAATTGAGAGTCACCACTTGGAATTGAAACGGATTTATATACAGTAGGTCCAGAGAAGTGAACCAATCTCTTTTTCTGTCAATGGACTATACAGCTTCTTGTCTACTTTCCAACTTAGCAGACGTGTGCACATTTTGAGCATGACATCCCTGATCCACTGGTGAAAGGACACTGATTCTGCCATCTTTTATTGAGAACTGTTTCAAACAACAAAGCGTATGCAGGAAAAAAGTGGCTAAGATTACATGACTGTCAGTGTTTTATGTCATGTGTTGTGTTGTATTATTTTGTTATTTTATCTTAACTCTTGATATTATGTTTATGTTTAGAAACCTGCCTTGGGACTACGGTTGAAAACGAGCATGTATGCTAAGTCCGGCGCATTTACACTGTTTATTCTTGTTGATTAATGTGCACTGTCCAATGAAATAAATAAATAAATGATGTCAGTGACATTCCGGATTTTCCTGGAATTCCGGGTTTTTCAAATTTTTATGAAAATCTCTCCGGAGAATTGGGGAAAATTTGCCTAAAATTAATCCGGATATTATTTGACAACATTGAACGAAGACGCGTTTGAGTTCGTTGTTTTACTTTCACAAGCGTAGCCATGTTGAGACACTAACACTCGTAACAGTAAAGAGATTTTCGTCTCTTTATAAACACACTTGCTAATCCCCAGTGGAACGAATAAAAGACACCGTAGACAAGACAGTTGTAAAAAAAAATATAGTTGGACAAAAAGGGAAACACACAGACTAGCAGAAAAACGTGTCCGTCGGACTTCGAGTGTCGTCTCGGCTAGCTTAGTTTAGCTGTTGTCGTGTGTGACGTCGGGTGTGTGACGTCGTTGTGTCGGCGCTGATTGGTTGAAATCAAAAGACGCACTTGCCTACATGTTCGCGCTGAAGCACACACAGCAGTGAGCAGCGGACAATCTACTGCTGAGGCTCGCTTAGCTTGAGTGACGTCGCCACAACAGTAATACCCTCGCCTCGCATTCTCATGGCCTCGCCATATCTCGGAGATTTCGAAATTCCATCGAGAATGGAAGCCACAAAGGGTACACGTGTGCATAGGGTAAGCCATTTGAGCATTTATTCCAAATCCCTGACATCAGACATGAGTGTGTTGCCATATGTGCACACAAAAGGAAGATTGATCATTGAATGTCAAGTATTTGAATAGCGTTTTGTGTAAACTAATTCATGCGTGATCGGCCAGGTGTGTGTGTGTGTGTGTACAGATATACAGTATATATATATATTAGAGCTGTCAGTGTAGCGCATATATATATATATGTGTGTGTGTGTGCGTGTGCATGTGTTTGTGTGTATATTATATGTATATATACACATACACACAAACGCACGGCGCGCACACACACACACACACACACACACACACACACACACACACACACACACACACACACACACGCACTTTAGCTGTCTATCATCTGCATAGCCATGATACCCAAGATTGGAATTCTGAAGAATTTGACCCAAGGGTAACATACAGACTGAACAAAAGCAGTCGAAGGACTGACACTTGAGGGACACCACGTCATGGCCATGAGATCAGATTTCAAACTTCAATGGTCACAAAATAACTCCTTTCCTCCAAGTAGGACCTGGACCATTTTCGGACTGTTCCATTTCTGTTTAAATGTATCAAACAGTTATCCTTCACCACATTTCATCACCATAATTTCTTCTCTGGGTCATTCCACTAAATTGGTGACATTTGTGTTCTCAGATAATCACATGAAAATACATTTTTATAAAGAATCTCGCATATTGATATGTATCGTGTAGTTAGTGCCTGTATTTGCTAAATTTTATATATAACAAAAAAAAAAGACTATAAAACAACTTTTGAGATGGACCAATACACATTGAGAATATGTATGTCATCAATTTAGTGCTTAAAAGAGAGAGAGAGAGAGAGAGAGAGAGAGAGAGAGAGAGAGAGAGAGAGAGAGAAATATAAAACGTGAGTTTATTTTTAGAGTATTACAATTGGCACTGATTTGGTGGCATGGCGCGTACAATATAAATAAATGTAACAACATATAAGATATACACATTGATGTTTGTATATTTCCGTTTTAATTTGAGAACAATCGGTTGCATGGTCTCTTTATTCATCCGTTGCCAAGTTATTGAATCGGGACTCGGTATTGGATGATTCTTAAAACCAAAGACTCTGACTCTAAAATCTGAGAATAACATTTGTATAATAATTTAAAATGTGGTGTAATGATGGTTGAAATAAAATTCTTTATTTTAGTAATAATCCCCCCCCCCCAGAAGAACCTGGCATATGAACAGGGGTGCACAGACTTTTGAAATCCACTGTACGAAGGACAAACAAGTGGGTCCTTTTTTAGTCTCGGCATTTTCCCTGCAAGGTGGTATATGGTCATCGGTTGGGATGGGTACCAAGCCCTGGTGCAAAAACTGGCATCCGGGATGAATTATTAAAGACCGGAGAATCGATAAAGTCCACCCTCAACGGTTCTGTTAACAGTCTTGGAGAAATGATTCAAATTTATTTTTGATTTATTCAGGCGATATGGATGTCATGTTTGTACCTTTTATCACTCCAGTCTCATTTGCAATCTCTAACTTGAGATACATTGAAAACCAGCAAAGCATTTTCACTTTTGCAGAGGAGCCATCTCGCCCCACTCCAGCGGCATGCATGAGAGTCATGACTGGCTCCTTCGTGATCCTGTGTAGTCTCACGCGATTATATTACGAAACAATTCATAGCCTTCGATAAAACGGTGCCATAAAACCTTTTCATGTATAGGCCCGAATACAAGTGTTTTTTTGCATTGAAATAAGACCGAAAAAGTGGGGGTCGTCTTATATTCGGGGTCTAGACATTATATCCATTCACGACGCTAGATGGCGCCAGATATCACTGAAGCGAATGCTTAACTTGACTCCCCAGTCCAAAGTGAACCCGTCATGAAGAATAAAACTAAAAATAGCGGTAGCACGAAGAAGAAAAATAATAAATAGCGGTAAGAAAGAAAAGAGAAGAAAATAATAGAAGAGATAACGGAATGATGGAGAAACGCAGCGACAATCTGGAGAAAAGTGGGTCAAAGATTGGCCAGGTTAACCGGCAGCTGAGGAGAAGTTATGATGTCATTTACATTTCAAAAACCAGAAGCCATTCATTTACGAATGTGATTGCACTTTAGTTTACATATTTAAATGTTCAAATATTAAGATTTGAATGAGGCAAAAATAACATGCTTTTTCTCTCAAATATGTTGTTTTAATCATTTGTTTCAGATGTACTGTAATTATTTTCTGTATAAAAATTAATTTGGTGTTCAAAAAGTCTTTTTTTCAAACTTGAGTCTTGAAAAAGAGGGGGCCGTCTTATAATCAGGGCCGTCTTATATTCGGGCCAATACGGTATTATTATTTTGATGTGTGGGGTGTACAGCCTGTGGTGCTACGTTAACCATTGCATTCAACTTCGTTCAGCTGACCACAACAGCCATTATCATTGTCTCTCACGCTCCTGGCATGACCAATCAATTTACACGCAATGCAATGCTTATGATCATGTAAATGCTTTGTTCTTCTTGGTTTGATTAGTCATGCCTGGAGAGGGACGAAAGAATGTTGTTTAATTTTCCGTCCGCGTGGGACTCGGGAGACGGGGAGCACAGCAGCCGCGGTGTATCTTGCATGACCGATTGGGGAAGAGAGCCCCCGCCCCCCCTTTCTAAATTGTAACAATTATCTGGCAGTTTCACGTGGCCTACTAAGTACCACCAAAGAATTTAATTCAGATCAACTTAAAAGTGCAAATTCGAGAAAGGTTTCTTATTTCCTGAGCTACATTTATGCGGTCCTTAAAATCGTTATTGAGGAGTAGTATCTAAAAAGTGAAACGTAGAAACATTTTTTACTTTAATTGATGAACATTAATCAACATTTAATATCGTTCACCTTTCCAACCGTTTCCTCTTGGTGTCCTCATTTCAGTTTGAATACTTCCAAAACTCCAATAAGGAATATTTGTTTTCTTTCTAGTTAGCTGGTAATAAATCCTTAGCCATGAACCTTAATTTTTTTTTTAATGCCTTTTGTTTTTGATACAAGAAAAGCTAAGTTTAAATAAATTACTTTAATAAATTACAACTGATGATTATATAAAATGGAAAATGATTGGTTGTTCGTTCTTAAGTGAAATAAAGTAAAAGTGTAGTTGATATGACTACGTGATTATTCTATGGAATTTTCAGCAGGACACGCAAGTACTGAAATATTCGATAGCTGCAGCCCTGCATACAGCTCCCTGGTTATATAGTTGTATGTTTATTGTTTAATAAAACCCTTGCCTCAAATCATTGGGATTAACCTGCAAAAAAAAAAAAAAGATCCTCAACATTTGTAAATTCATCCACAATTGAAGCCATTGATGAGCAACATTGCTCTTTAAATAAAAAGTGACAATAAGCCTTGTCCCTCGACACCAATTTAACTTTGCACTGAATGACTGTTAATAAAAATGAATAAAAGCTTCACATTATGATTTGTTCAAAACATTTCTTTCCGTACAAATCATTGTTTTTATTTTAAATTAATGTTGTAGTTGCATGACACGTTCATTAAAAAAAAAACAAAATAAAACTATTAATTCTGTTCTTGTTTGCGTTTTTCCAAACAAAGAAAGTACAAATTGGAATACCAGATTGATAAGGAGCTTTGTAAAGAGTGGGACTATCCTCAAATTTGGAATGAGACCTATTCCTAGTCATCAGTGCTGCATGCAAGCAATGTTGAGTCTTAACCTCAAAAACCCTCTTCTGGCCTTCATCTGGTTCCCGTAACTTGCAGGTCCAATTTTGTCCAGCCCACAGGGGAGTAATGTTCTTATTAATTTAAGGCAGATAAGGCGTTAGCAATGTGGCAGGCTTGCAAAGTCATATTCTTTGTGCTGAAGTTCTCCTCAAAAGGGTTTGCTATACTCTGTATTGGGAGTGCTCCTCGGACTGCAGTTTCCATTCAAGGATGATGAATTTGACGCAGATGAGTGTCCCTCCCAGAAAAGGGTTTCACTAGGTTTGGGGGGACTGGGGAAGGACCTTGAGCTGTCATCGATGGAGGCCTGGTTAAGGGGCGGTGGGGGCAAAACAACAGAAGCGGTCTCATTCCCGACCAAAGCCTCTCCAGAGCACTGCTGTGTTGGCCATGGGCCATTATACCAGCGGTCCTCTCTCAAAATGTCCGGCAGCAAGGTGCTAGTCGGGCCAACCACGGGGGGGCAGGGGCGGCCAGAACAAGAGGGCAGGGGTGGGGCACTGGGCGGTTGAGGTGCTGGCGTCCGAAGAACGGCATGGTGGTTTGTCTCAGTCTCTTGCAGAAACTGAATTGGAACTGCTGTGAGAGAGAGGAAAAAGGCAAAAGTTGTCAAATGATGAACGAAAATCCTTATTTCCACCAAGCAGTGAAGGTGGATTCACTTTTGTACATTCGTCAATTTTTGTGAACAGGGGGCAGGAACATTTCTGAGAAGCCCACATCCGGTCCGTTCATCGCTTAAGATCGCGATATTAAATTACCAGTAACTGCCTGGGGACTGCTGGCGTCCGAAGAACGGCATGGTGGTTTGTCTCAGTCTCTTGCAGAAACTGAATTGGAACTGCTGTGAGAGAGAGGAAAAAGGCAAAAGTTGTCAAATGATGAACGAAAATCCTTATTTCCACCAAGCAGTGAAGGTGGATTCACTTTTGTACATTCGTCAATTTTTGTGAACAGGGGGCAGGAACATTTCTGAGAGAAGCCCACATCCGGTCCGTTCATCGCTTAAGATCGCGATATTAAATTACCAGTAACTGCCTGGGGACTGCATATTCTCAGATAAACTACTTAATGAATGCCAGGGAGGTCGGGACACAGCCGTGGAGCCTTTTCTGCACGATGTGGAAGGTCTCATCTGTCCAACATGGTTCCTATTCTTAATAATTCCTGAGCCACACCAGCACAGGATGGTGGCTCTGCCAAGCCCATTGTGACGATGTGTGTGTCCTAACTGATTCCAACTGGATATGTGTGCCAGAGTGCAGACTGATAGGAAGATGGCGAGCCAGGAGGAAAGGTCATAGCGACACAACAGCCTCGCTCAAGTCACACATCTCATTATAAAAAGGCACCAAAATAACCATTCGGTCCAGTGGTTGTGTACAGTACAGCTGTAGCACTGTGGATGTAGGCAGAATTCAAAGGCGGGTTGGACCGCAAAGTTTACTTGTAAGTTGATATAAGTAAATGCGTTGCCGACACGGCCTTCATATTGTGCAGTGGAAATGGCATTCAAATTCATCATCCAAAACACAGTCAAGTCAACTGTACTACTGAGAGGAAAATGTGGCTTGTGAAGGCTAAGTGTGTTATGTTCAATCCAAACCATGTTCCCCATTAGAATCAATGTAAAAAAATTTAATCCATTCCAAGTCTCTAAAACAACTTTTTTAAAAGCATTTTTTCAACTATTTTACACCATAAACTGTATACGTGTAATAAGAGAGCAGGTAACAACAAACTACAAACATTTTGTATGTTTTATTTTGACCAATTTTAACATAAACATTGACATTAACATAAAAATTGAACATCTCTCTCTCTCTCTCTCTCTCTCTCTCTCTCTCTCTCTCTCTCTCTTAACAAAATAATTTAACATCTCGCTCTCTCTCTCTCTCTCTCTGTCTCTCTCTCATCGTGACAATTGTAGATTGCATTCTTTTACACCTTGAATTTATAAACCCTAAAGTAATGGCTGTAACTATGGACGCTCTGTCTGCAATCCTACACTATGGTACAAAAGAAAATCCCTCCATCCATTTTCTGAACCGCTTTATACACACAAGTCCAGTCTCGTCCATATAAAGAGTTTGCTGGGGAAGACATTCCTCGGCCTTGATGAGATTTTCAAACTCAGCTTTAAACTTTTCGGCAGATTCCTTGTCTGAACAGGCTGCCTCCGCATGACGAATCACTTCTTTTCCTCAACTTTTCGAAAATCAAACTCTTCAGGAGCAATGCTAAGATCCTTTTTTTTTTTTTTTTTATCAAATCTCCATACAATTGTCTTGTTTTACCACAAATTGTATCTTGGCTGAGACTGTCCCCTGCTAGCTGTTTCTCATTTATGAAAATAAGCAAACATTTCGCCACTTCCTCTAATATTTGCGGCCTTTGTTCACTAAACACACGAGATCCTTTAGCCACATCAATGACTTTATGATGGTCTTTCTTTTTTAGGATGCTGCTGATTTCGGTATGCCGAACTCCTTAGCCAACACATGCACACCTGATTCATATTTCACGATCAAATCTTTCTTAAATTCAATAGTTTTGCGCACTATCTTCCTCTTTTTTCAGCAGCTTTACTACTTCCACTTGCTTTCTTTGGTGCCATGCAGAAATAACAGTCCAATTTGCGTCGATCTCAACAAACACGTCTGCTTTTTTAAAAATCTTTACTGAACACGTCCGCTCACAACGGACGCTTTTTTTTTTTAAAAAAATTTTTGAACACGTCTGCTCACAATTGATGCACAATGGCAGCCATCTCGTTACCTCTGCATCCTGCATCCTAGACACATAATTTTCCCGCGGGACACACAGTTCCAAATAATGTGCATTTTTGGGACGCAAGGAAATTTCTCAGTCAAAACAAACATACAAAAAAAACAACGGCAGGCCTGAGGATTTCACGGTAACGATCATTACCGGTAGCGTGTCGTTTCCGTGGCGTCAATTTGAAGGTACCGAAAAATCGTTTCCCATAAAAGTCACCGCACACGAGTTGACTGTACGCGATCGAATCTCTCCTGTGTGATCAACTTCTTCTAATTTACTTTCATTTTGTTTTGTTTTAGTGTTTGGGGGGGGGGGGCAGATAACCTTATGTGCGCATGCGGGTTGCTATTTTAGTCCGCAAACTGAGGAATCGCGCAGATGAAAGTTTGAGATGGCAACAAAAACACACAAAGGTCTACTAATTACGACATTTAAGAAATGGGAATGCCAGTCTGATTTTTCGTATGAATCGTCCGAAGGGCATATCACTAAACTAAGCTGTGATGTATGCACAGAACATGAGAGCGAGATACGACGGTAGGCACGATTACGAGGCAAATTGGTCATTAGATCTGTAGGCTAATCACGATGAAAAATATTATGAAACAGTCTTGGTTATTCGATAATTTACTGGTTGTAGCGTGGTAACTTTATGAATAAAACATTCGTCACAAGGTGTGGTAATGCTAATGTTAACTGTTGGTAGAACTAATGATGATGTGTGGTAGATTCTTTCGTCAAATTGATCATAGATTACACATGCATCGTCTTGGGAAAAGGGTGGCAAGCCACATCAATACTTGCCTGTACAGTCAAACCTCGGTTTTCGTCCATAATCCGTTCCAGAAGGCTGTTTGTAAACCGAATTGTTCGAAAATCATAACCACGCTCTTTTTTTAAAAAAAAAAGTTTATTGAACACGCCTGCTCACAATCGAAGCGACACGCGGAAGCGTCACTTCCTCGTCAACCCGAGTAAGCGTCCTTTCCTCGTGTAAGGAAGGCGAGAGGAGTGAAGTGGTGCATTCAAGTGCGCTCAGTTTGTTCAAGAACCAAAATTTGTTCGTCATCTGAGGCATAAAAAACTCGAAATTTTTGGTCGAAAACCAAATTGGTTGAGAACCGAGACGTTCGAAAACCGAGGTTTGACTGTATTAATGATTACCAGTAAATTAATCTTTGCAGTGTGAAACTGGAAAAAATACTCTGATTTTGTGGTATGCTGTATTCATGATGCCATATGAGTACACCATATTTTGATCCATTTATTTTTTTTGAATAAATCTGGAGTACACAGCTGCTGATGTAATGTTCATTGTTAATTAAGATCAAGTTATCCTTTATTTTTCCCACACTGGGGAAATTTAAATGCATAGTTTTTGAAAATTAGTTACCGTGGTTTCCCATTGGGTAATCCGACGGAACTGAAAACGGTTACCGTGAATTTCCGAAATCCTCAGGCCTGCTACGGCACATCTTTTTTTCCTGCAACGATCACAGTTTGACAATCGCCGCCATTGTTGTTTTGATCTCGCGTTAAGTAATCCCGCGTGACGAGATTTCCGCTCTCGCGAGACGAGATTGGCGAGCTTGGCCTTCACCTCGCGGAAAGCAGACGATCGCCAAGTTGTGTAACGTTAAAAAGAGTGTTGCAAAAGTTTATTGCGGAGATATCACAGAGGAAGCAGCTAAAGTTGGATAGTTTTTTGCGATAATAAGTTGACTTTGAGAAAGCCTTGCATCATTGGAAGCAGAGTAAAGAGAGGAGAATTTATGAACTCAAAGACTGAACCATGGGATGCAATAAGAACCTATTTCTCAGCAAATCTTGTATGCCTGAATTATTTAAATTTTTGCAGCATTTGTTTGTAAATGTATGTATATGTTGTTTGTGTATCAGATGCAACTGAATAAGTAGACCATTTCAGAATTCGAAATTTGGGACTCTCTAAATGCATAATGGGACTCATACTTTTCTGATCAGCGAGTCCCTGGGACTCGCTGGGGGTTAACTGTAAAATTATCACTGCAACGGACGCTCTTTTTAAAAAATTCATTGAACACGTCTGCTCACAATGGACGCGCTTTCTTTAAAAAAAAATAAATAAAAATCTTTATTGAACACGTCGAAAACAGATTTGGTCGAGAACAGAGACGTTCGAAAACCGAGGTTTGACTGTACTTCCGAAAACAAAGCCTCTTTAAAGTAGGGATGATTTTGTGTGGTCTCCAACGATCAGGGATTGGGAGGTGTGTCGAGATTTTCGTATAATTCTGACTTAGGTTCGGTTAGGTTTCAGTTGGCTGGGAACCTTTCCTCGAGTACATGCTTCTGTTGGGACTCATTTAGTGAAACGCCAAGGCGCGAGCTCCAACCTAGGTCATCCATCCATCCATTTTCTGATGCGCTGATCCTCACAAGCGTCGCGGGGCGTTGCTGGAGCCTATTCCAGCTGTCTTCGGGCAGTAGACGGGGTACACCCTGAACTGGTTGCCAGTGAATCGCAGGGCACACATCAACAAACAACCATCCTTGCTCATACTCACACCTCGGGACAATTCAGAGTGTTCCATTAACCTGCCACGCATGTCTTTGGAATGTGGGAGGAAACCGGAGTACCTGGAGAAAACCCAAGCAGGTACAGGGAGCACATGCAAACTCCACACAGGAAGGCTGGAGCCGGAATCGAACCCTGCACCTCTGCACTGTGAGGCCTACACGCTAACCAGTCGACTACTGGGCCACTTTTTTACAGAACATTTATCATAAATTAATAATACAACACAACATAAAACAGTGACAATAATACAATCGTAACAACTATTCTCACATATGACCAGGTTTAAGAAATCTATCCACAAACACCACTGAGCTACTAGCCATGGCCAGTACGGAAAACCACATTTCCCCACGGCCCTAAATAGCTCAGGGCCCCACAGCAATGTGTGAAGCAGGGGATGATGACACAACAGAGGCACCCAAAATGCCCCCCGGAGCGCCCCCCCCCCCAAAAAAAACAAACAAACAAAAAACAAAAACAAAACAAGAGAAGACACAAGAGAAGTGGATTCACCAGCCAGTGCCACTGAAAGTACGTCTAAGAGCTACCTGGTAATACCTGAGGTGGACAGTGATGTCAATCTTCTTGAGTGGTGGTGAAACGGGTTTGAAAATATTTATGCATGCCTGCCTCAAGTAGCCTTTCAGCCATGGCTTTCTTTCTTTTGGATACACAATTACTGATTATCTTTTGTCGTTGAGCAGGACATCTTTTCTACATGCATTAGAAAATGCCAATCTATGAAGATAGTCTTCTGTACTAAGGTTTGTTTTTTTTGTCATACATCTGGTTAAGAAGTGTGCGGTCCTATTATTGTAGTGCTGTTGAAAAATTGTGTACCCATCCAACATTTAAGTTGCCTATCCCTAGTACATTTGTTCTTAAATATTTAATTTAGATTACATTTTGATGCTGTCTTAATTTAATAGTATTCACAGTGTTTACTTTTTTTTTTTTTTTTTAAAGCTTAAGATACTATTAAGCAAACATGATTTGGCATTTTCTCCTGTGATTTGTGTACAGTAGAGCTTGTTAAATATTGACCCATAATATTGTTCTGCGATGTTTTGCAGAAGATGTATAAAGCACTTTAAAAATAAACAGCTGTTGTTCAGAACCACTGTCTACCATATATTCATTATTGTCCTGGGAAACCAGTACAGCATTCTTTGTCGGTTATTGTCCAATGATCATTAATGGGGGAAAAAAAAAATACAAACATGCACGCACACACACCTCACCTCGTCTTGCCTCACTGATCAATGGTCTCAGCTTCTGAATCAGGCCTCTTTGGTGTCTCACCTCTGAATGGAGACGAGTGATCTCAGAATGCAAAGTCTCATATGCCTGCTGCATGCTCCTCTCCCTGCAGATGCACAGAATATTGGATTTCAACAATGTCCACACGGTGTTAGCCACATGCCGGTAAAATCAGCTGAAGATTGTCTTTTACCTATCACTGTATAAAAGTAATTGTGAACTGATTGCAAGAATAATTTGTTCAAAATGTTGGCACAGATGTCTTTTGAATGAGGCTCTTAAAAACATCTGGCAGTCAGTAGTTAGATTAAATGAGGTTTGTAATAAATGTGAAGACCTTCTGGTGTTGAAAAGGATTACATTAGCAAGTGAGGTTTGCTGATACAGCAAGATACAGGAGAAACTGCATCATTTGTGTGGTTTAACAACTCATTTTGACAAAGCACAAGTGCTGAGATGAATATGAGGCAACAGGTATTATAATCTGCATTCTCAGCAGGCATCGGAAAATATTACTGGTATGATTTGTGAGATCAGCAACACAAAAACTGTCCTATCCACACCTGACATGAGGTTGCAAATCTCATGAATACTTTCTCAGAACACAAAACACCTGCCTGAAACGGCACGAAAGCTAAAATGTGAGGAAAAAAGAAGCGGCTTTTTCTGATGAGAAAAACTGAATGAAAACTACTGACACAATTAACAACACAAATATACATGACTTCAGGAAATACAGTGAGGACAATTTACAAGCATTTACCAGTGAAAAGTAAGTGGAAAGTAATTCCCATTGCCACATGATTAAAGCTCATGTCAACGTCGGGTGAAGTCAAGTGAATGCTGTCTGCTTTCTACTTTATCATGAAGATTAATGTATTGGGTTTCACACTCCTCTAGTGGGCATAGAGGAGAATTGCAACCAATAATCAAAAATGTCTCTCAAACTTTTTGAGCTTGTGAAATACTATTTCCCCCAAAATGTGCATTCTATTCCACTTCTAACACGTACTAAATGTATTCTAAAAGAACAGCTTCAGAAGTCTGAAACTTAGACGGGTTACAATGGAAGTCCAAAATTTAGTTGGCATCCATCCAATCACATATAGACAAAAAAAAAAAGGTCCCCAATTAAACTACTATGCATTTTTTTGGTCAGTGGAAGGAGGCAGGATTATACAGAGAAATTCCCAGGGAGAACATGCAAATCACACACACATTTTAGAATTAAGTCTGGATCTCCTAGCTGCAAGAAAGATGTTGAAACCCAAATTTTTCAAAATGCGAGCTAATTTTGTTGTCGTTAAATGTAGACCTGGAGGATGATGATTAAATTCTCATACCATATTAACTGTCTTGTAACACAATACGTTTAACTTAAAAAAATGAATGAGAATCCAGAAAACTGTAAAAAAGCAACACATTGACATGAAACTTGATTCTTTGAAAGATATTTTTAAATGTTTGCTCATTATAACAATTGGCCAATGGTAATTATTAGTGAGGTTATGAGATGTGCCGAGACTGTGGAGCGAGAGCAGGGGTCCCCAAATGAAGCCCTGATTCGGAGAATGTGTAGTTTCCAAGAAAATCAAGTGACGGAAACGAGCCCTCTTTATGTGCGGATGACATCATGGGTTTATTCAATGTATTATGACTTCATAATCGCGCCCGAGACCTCGCGCCACTTTGCGGGCATTGTCAGCATTTGACGTGAGCGTCAAATTAGTTGCTGAGTGAGGGAGTCACTCTGAGCATGAGAAAAAAATATTCAGAGTGCAGAAGTACTCATGTGGAATTAGCACTTGTGTTTATTTTCTGTAGCGGCCGCTATGTAGCCACTGTTTATTGATGTTTGCTTGTTGCAAGTTTGTGCGTACGCATGTTCGGCTGGCGCAGTTGAGAGAGCGTTGCGCTTCCAGTCAGTGTCCTAGATTTGAGCCATTAGTAGATGCTGACAGTTTTATACTGATACTTATTTCTGTTCACAAACATTGTTCTTAAAACTGTTATACTCTTACTAATGCCATATTTACACTACTGCTGAAACTGTAATATTGCAACAGATGTCAATGTTCAGCCGACAATCTTATTTCATTCTGTATATTTTACTGCTTGGTCTTCTTGAGCACTTGATGGCGCCATTGAGCAAATGATGCACCATGAAGCTTTGAACCATGTGCAAAACAATTTGCTGGGTCGCTCCAGTGCTTCATGAAATCGTAAATAGATTTAGGAAATATCGTACCTGGTATTGAACTTGTCATCACACACCTGCTCCACGTTTGGTCCATTCAGGCCACATAGTTCTGCCTGTAATAAAGCAAAGTTTGAGTCTTGTTTACAGATTCTTGAACATAATGTTGATTAAGCACACACTTGTTTACGGCATCCTTCTCAACCTTGCACCTTCAGGGCAAATTGTCAAAGGATTCTATCATCCCTCCCACTCTTTCAGTTGATTCTTTTCTCTGTTCTCCTTTCACTTTTATTTTTGCTGTTTCTTCCAAGTCCATACTTTCTTACCCCACTCATTTCCAGTTGTTTGCTGTTTTCCAATGTCAACCTTTCCAGCTCCTCCTGAAGTTGAAGGATTTTTCGCTCGGCACTGACACAGTCCATCTGCCAGTAGTCCTGAGGACTGTTCAAGCTCTTCATCACTGCACAAAAAGATTATACGTGCAAGTAAATACATACATTAAAAAAGTCAGGTCCAACCACTGGTTTACTTCCAATGTTGGAATTATTTTTTTCTTATTACAACTGGGAATAAAATAGATTTGGTTCGGAGGATCAGCATTTGACTTTGGATGAAAGATGACAAAGTAAATTAAACCTTACAGGGCAGGATTCGTAACTAGCACATCAGTTCCTGAGTAAGAAGAGAGCAGTTATTGCTATGGTTCTAGGGGCGGCCAGGTGTTCCAGTGGTTAGCGCGTCGACCTCACAGTGCAGAGGTGCAGGGTTCGATTAGGGCTCTGGCCTCCCTGTGTTCTCCGCGGGCCTGCGTGGGTTTTCTCCGGGTACTCCGGTTTCCTCCCACGTTCCAAAAACATGCATGGCAGGCTGATTGAACACTCTAAATTGTCCCTCGGTGTGAGTGTGAGCGCGGATGGTTGTTTGTCTCTGTGTGCTCTGCGATTGGTTGACAACCGGTGCAGGGTGTCCCCGGCCTACTGCCCGAAGACAGCTGGGACAGGCTCCAGCACCCCCCTGCGAACCTTGTGCATTGTTTTTGTGTAAAGAGTTTTACTTGCGAACAGTTTCAACCGCCAACAATCTGCACTGTCATCACTTGCTGTGGTGAGATCGCCGTGTTTCACATGATATCACAAAACCATGTGGATAACAAACTACCGGTCTTTAGTTCCATCGGAGAATTTTGTCAAAACCATCACATCATTCTCTATAAATATGGAACATTAGACATTAGATATCATATTGGAATGAAAATAAGTATTTTCCACAACCCCTAGGTAACGGTAAACATCGTTAAAATGTGACAATCTTTCAGTTTTCCGTACACCTATGTATAATACCCGCCTTCATTTTTTTCAGAAAATGCATATTATTCTTGAGAAATTATGGCAATTGTAATTTAGTTATATATCAAGTTCTATGATTATTATCGCACATTTCCTCTTTTTCTAATTGTTCATTAGCGGCATTTAGAATAACTATTAGAGGAAAAAAAAAGAGCCAAAAAGTTCACTTGGTAACATAAAAGTTGGACCCAAACATATGGTCATTGATTGACGATGACTAAATTCTTAACATCTGATCAAATGCTTTAACTTTACAAAGTACAATATTCCTGACAAACCTTGGCTGGTCTCCATCTCTGTCCTAAGCTGAAGCAACTCCAGCTCTTTACTTTGAAGCTGCTCTGTCAACAGCCTCTCACTCTCACTCTTCTCCTTTTTCTGAGAAGACAAAATGAGACACAAGGAGAACATAACTGAAGAGAAAGGGTGCACTTATCGCAATCAAGTAAATACCGTTTGATTCAATTATAAAGTTTTCCACATATGTAATGTTTTTTTTTCTTATCAAGGACTCTTTCCTATGATGCCTTGACTAAAAAACAAAACAAACAAGAAAGCACAAAAATAAAGCACTGCCCTTGGCCCTAACCAATACACACATGGCTAAAATTCTTGGTATGGCTCTGTTAATGAAAGGACAATAATAATAATAAAAATAATGATGAGTGGCCTGGTGGGTCCAGTGGTTAGCGCGTTGACCTCACAGTGCAGAGGTTGTGGGTTCGATCCCGGCTCCAGCCTTCCTGTGTGGAGTTTGCATGTTCTGCCCGTGCCTGCGTGGGTTTTCTCCAGGTACTCTGGTTTCCTCCAACATTCCAAAAACATGCATGGCAGGCTGATTGAACACTCGAAATTGTCCCTATATGTGAGTGTGAGAGTGGATGGTTGTTCGTCTCTGTGTGCCCTGCGATTGGCTCGCAACCGGTTCAGGGTGTCCCCCGCCTACTGCCCAAAGAGAGCTGGGATAGGCTTCAGCAGGCCCTGCGACCCTTGTGAGGATAAAGCAGATCAGAAAATGGATGGATGGATGATAATACTAATAATACTAGGAAGAAGAATAGAAAAAATATTTTATGAAAATTATTAGATATTAAATATTTCATTAAAATGTATACATATGTATGAAAATATTTAATGAAAATTACTTTTGAACACTGGCTCAAAAGAGAATTATTTCAAAAAACAAAGTCATGAAACAGACCTGGGCAAAAATTATGGTTCCCCGAGACAAGAAATTATTTGACCGTAGGGACATGTCCAATTAAGGTGTCCCCTCTAATTAGCATTAAAAAGCTGTCTTCAAACTTATAAGCAATAAACCAGCTTATTTAAAGGGTGACCGGTAGTCACTGCGATCGATGTTTAGTGACATGGCGTGTACCACACAAAAAACAAATCAGAGTTTTCTCAGGAGATGAGAACGAAAATTAAAGAAAAGCACAAAAAAAAAGGAAAAGGATCCTGGACCATCTCCAAGCAGCTTGATGCTTCTGTGATTACTCTTGCACAAATTATTCAGAAATTTAAGATCCACGGGACTAGTGCAAACTAGGGGTGCAACGGTCACAATTTTTGGCAGATCACCGATCATTTATTCATTAAATGCAAAAACTGAAAAATACATTTGCAAAAAATGTATTTAAAACAAAGAATGTAGAATGCTGTTTAAGGTATTTACTGCTCACTGTGATTACAATCACCTTTAGTGCCCCTCGACCCCCACCACTTTTAGGGCCCCCTCCAGAGGACATGTTTGACATCAAAAGAGGTACTGTAATCTCAAGCATCTGTGTTACTGCCATCACATCAAAGCTCAGACCGAAGACAATGGTGGGTAGTGGTGGTCTGGTCTCACCTTACCACTCCCAACTTTTTCCAGCTACACCGGGTCAGATGACATGTTCGTTTCTTTGTTTCCGGGATTTGCATGGAGGCGTAATTCCCCGCCTTTCATTATCATATTGTCTCTATATATTCTCATGACTGCATTTTTTCTACGCTTCCTGACGAAATCTGAGACTCTCAAGAGCCCGAATCGATTCGTATTGTGTTGTGATAAACTGCAGAAAAGACGACGTGGTGTTGGGTCTTCTTCCACCTTATAGAGAAATAAAAGAACCTGTGTCCAAGGAGGGCCATAAGGAAATGGACAGATCCCCTCCTCCACAGTAGGCCACAAGAAGCTGCAGAAACTGAGAGTAGTCCACCGCGGTAATGTAACAAAAAATATATGTATACCGTATTTTCCGCACTATCAGGCGCACCGAAAAGTCTTCCATTTTCTTAAAGGTTCAGAGCGTGCTTTAAAATCCGGTGCGCCTTGTGTATGGTCATTACGGTAATATTTCGACCCCAAAATTGCTCCTTGCTGGAGACATGCTTATAATGTATGAACTGTGCATTCATGACTGGCTCCGAAAAACGTAAATTTCCGATTCCTTCAATGAAACAACGAAACTTGAAAAATATGCATCAAAACAGAAAATCAAGCAAGCAAATCACAAAATAAATTCTATAGCCCCCCCCTACAGAATTTATTTTGTCATTTCCTCGTTTGTGAATACACAACAAAGGAATAAATAACAAACACTTCTGAGACAGTCCAGTCACCTACATTTTACTGACATCTGATCATTCTGTTGGAGCTGCACTCAAGGAAATGCAAAAAATAAATTCTGTAGGGGGGCTATAGGATTTCTTGATCAGGGATGAGAGTGGCTAGTGATGAAAAAAGCGGAAGGGGGCGTGGCCTGGACTGGGGTGTGGTCGGGACGGGCCGGGGCCACTTACAAAAGTGGCACTAAATATGCTGAAGATGAAGCATATTCAATTTACACACTATTTGAAACTAACAAAAAAAAATCCCAAGATTGTTCACTATTCTTTCAAGTGAAAATTTGTGCAATTTTGCTTATGCATTCCTGGTGAGCACCAACATGTAACTTCAAATTTGCTGCTCAAAATCAAAACGAAAAAAGGAAACATATTGCCTGCCATATTTAAGATTTGTTCATTACTTGTATTCATAAAGTGTTATGTGATAAAAAGCTGTTGATTCTTACCTCATACAGTGATAGTGAAGTCGCACACTTTTTACTATGTATGGTTTATGAATGTATTTTATGATATAAAGTGGATGTCTATTTACAGTATATACAACAATATACAGTTTCATGAGGTAGAATACTTTATTTTCTCTTCATTTTAAGCTTTTTAGCAAGCGCTAAAATCTTATTGGTCCTCTCTGTCTTTTTCCACTCTCTTTTTAGCCAACTCCTCTTGTTTTTACACATGCTCCAGGCTGTCGAAAAGCGCTTGAGATCGAGTAGTTATTTTTCAGTAGAAATGTCTGTTTTCGATGTTTCACCGAGGTTGCGTGACTCTGTAAAGCTCTCCATTCTCTCGATCTGTATAGAATGACATCATCACACACCGTACACAGAGCTTTACCGGCGACATCGAGCTTTTTCACAAAATCCGACACAAGCAC